ACATAGGTGCATGCCTTTTGAACATTTTTTTTTTCGTTATAAGATTAATATTAGAAATTTGAGTGCCAATTTATTGCATGAAACATAAATAGAATTGCATAGAAAATATCGAGACTATTCATTACTTTAATTTTATTATTGGAATCAATTTCTTTATCTTAAAATAATATGTACTTTACAATGTATTAAATTTTTTAAAACCAAAATTTACTTTTTTCTCGCCTCAAATAAGTATGCACTCTGATGAAAAATAAACATTTATGGAAGCTATTTCATTTAAAAATAGCCCAAATGTCTTTTGACAATTTTAAAAGGCCATCGGAACACTTTCTTCTCTTTACCCCGGAGATCAGCCAATGACTTTATCAAGCAGCATAGGGTGTCGCTCGTAAAATATCATTCACATTTTGGCGACCAATGCTTTCACAAGATAAGCTAATTTTTTGAAACATTTTAAGTGCATTTAAAATCTAGTTATTTTAAAGTTAGTTTAAAAGAAAATTGTTTTAATGGTCTTTACATTGATTTCTATTAAGTTCACAATAGAAACGTAGCTAAGGTTTTATATTAGTGAATTAAAAAAATAACTTACATTAGACACGAGAAGAAGTACGTTATAACAAGCTTCCCCCGACCCGTGCTAAAGCTTCCGTCTTCATTGACTTCAACAGTCGAATGATTGTCGACACTCGTGTGTAGGGAACTGTAAACCTGGTTCCGCTTGACATCACCTTCACAATTGTACAATCTAGGTAACACACGTTTATAACACCTGAGTTTGTCTGTAGTGTTTGTGGTACATGAATGAATAGCCTTCTACATCTACCCAAACGTGATTACATACAAATAACCACATACGTGCAACACATGTATACAGAAAGAAAATTGTTAAGAAGAAAACAAACATACAGTCATTTAATATGATTTACATAAACAATATGCACAATCACTAACAATGTGATACACTTGCAAGAATACAAAAACCATAAACATACACATAGAGTCACGTTCTCTCTCTCTCTATCTTTCGCACACACACTTATACACCTCACAAACACACACACACAAACAGTTGCGTAACAGATAAACACGTCATTGAAATTCGGCATGGTGGAATTTCTAATTTACATCCTGCCTAGAATTCTAGCTCTATAAATAGTTCCGTTACGTAATTTGGATGTAGAGTGCCTTTAGGTAAAAACCCAGACAATAAGACCTAAACAAACTTTAGGCTTGTGATAGTCAGACTATATTTTATATATGGCAGGCGGTTAAAGCAGTGTGAATACATAAACGAACTTACACATATCACACACACGTGCACAAACACACACAGCATACACATAAACACATAAACTAGCAGCGAAGGCTTATGCTGAAGTATACATACTTTTTAAAGAATATCTTAGAGCCAACGCTACAGTTACACGTTCGGATCATGGACCCGAGTATGTGTGACGCCCCACATTATACCTGACTGGGCACCTGACTGACATTAGGGAAAATAAAAGCGGCTGGATACTTCCAAAAACTAGAACAGGACCTTACACCCAACCCTTCCACATCACACCCCTACCCCATTAGTTGGCCTTCTTCAAGAAAATGTAGCAAGTCATTACACTCAAACCACTCACATCACACCCTGACCCCATTAGTTGGCCTTCTTCCAAAAACTGAAGCATGACATTACACCCAACACTCCCACATTAATTACCACTTCTCATCTCTACCACACATAGTGTATTGTTTGTAGGCAGAGCTATATCTGGCAAACACTATAGATTACTTTGAAAATATCGGGGATACCTATATAATACAAAACGTAATATAAAAAACATTACCTGAGTTTTTTTTTAGTTTAGTCAGGTTTCTTTAACAGTGATATAAACTACGGATCCCCAACATCTAAAGTCTGTTTTTATATAGCAATGTGCGACTTCTATGTTTTTTTTAAATCTTGCTGTGTGTAACATGTAATTGTTTCTTTGTGTATGACGTCATCCAGACAAGAGGATATGAATTCGACGCACTGTATAATTTGCAATATGTAACGTCAGCCTACATATTTATTACACACTACCCCTAATAACTAACGTCATTCCCCCTATCTTACCTCGACATTAGAAGGGATAGTGTGGTCAGCACTAAGCTTTCCCTAACGTTAGTCAAGTACCTATCGGAGCTGGGTGGACTCAAGGACGTTCTAGCAACTCTCTTGAATGGTGAAGATGAAAGTGTTCGTTAGATTGTTGTTTGGTGTTGCCGTGACCATTCAGTCTACACATGCAGGTAGAAATAATTTCATTAACTGACAGATATACTTTAATTTCATAAGTGTGTGTGTATGTATGTGTTTATGTATGTGTGCATGGATTTCAACGAGCCATTTTAAGTTGATATATACAATTTACCAGTTCAAGTAAAATGGCTAAGTAGGACGCCACTGCACTTTTTAAGACGTAGTTAGGCACACAAAATGCAAGGTCATTACAATTATTTAGGTTAATTGCCATTAATTATTTTCACTGACATATTAGAATGAAATTGATAATTAAATTTTGCAAAAATAGTGTGTGTTTTGGCAAAAGCATTGATTAAGTTTTTGTTTTTACGAAATTTGAAATAAAACGGTTATTAATGCAATTTACGGAATATTTTTAATTAGAACTTCAAATTGTATTACAATTTTTTTAAACAATCAACTCCTTCAACACAAACCTACTTGACGGTGATGGTACCGATATAACACGACATTGAGTTAATGAACTTAAAATAATGATAGCAGTTATATGTCTCTAAAAGCTTGTTAGTTAAGTGAATTTAGTTAATTTAATTTAATTAATTATTTATTTAATTATCATAATAGCTCTTGTGTTGAGAGAGCTGCGCCTAAGAATTTAATCGACAAACAATTTTCTCCCAAAACAAACTAATAACAGGATTAAAAAATTATCATATCTGTATCATTAAAATAACTATTCCCAAGCCCCAGAATGCCCGAGTGAAGACTGGATCAAATCTACCAAACACTGCTACTACCTACAGAAAAACGAATCAACATGGAGGGAGGCCCAAAGATTTTGCTACATATTCGGCTCCAACCTGGCCAGTTTACATTCAGAAGAAGAGATCGCTTTTTTAAATACCAAGGTAAAATTATACGAAATAGTAAAAACAGCCATAGTAACATCACTAATATGATGTTTAACGTTTAATTTTTAATGTGCACTGTTTTTAAGAGCACTAAAAATTTCGAGATTTTTAATTTTAAGAAATGAAATATAATTTTTTTTTAATGGTGTAGCTGTTCGGAAAGTTTCAGACCCTGTGGATAGGTTTTTATACGCCGTTTCAAGACGACAATTGGAAGTAGGTTTTTAAACCTGTTTTATAAAACAATATAATACAATAAATGTAATTATTAAACAGTACTCAATAATCTTTATTAGAAAAACGTACAATCAAAAACGTATGTAGCAAAACGTACAATGAAGTTTATTTAATTAGTTTTTCCGTTAGTAAATGATTTCCAAAATTACAGGTGGTTCGACGGTACAGACGCCAAATTTACGAGCTGGGTCGCTGGTCAGCCTAAAGTCTACACAGAAGACTGTGCTGCTACATATGTAACTACAGGTCACAATGTTATTTAATTAATTTACTGCTACATATGTAACTACAGGTCACGATGTTATTTAATTATTTTACGGTTACATTTTTTAAAATTGTATTTTCGTTTCAGATTTTCCTTAATTTAATATAAGCTTAAATTATTATGTTATCCTGGAACCCGGTGGCCTAGAGATACAGTGCCAAACAGCAAACCTAATAGTCTAAAGTTCGAATGCGGGTTCATGTCAGTAGGTCGTCCCTGAGACCACCCAACTCCAATCGGTAGCTAACCCACTTTAAGGAAAATAAAGGCGGCTGGGCATAATGCTGACCTTACTATCTCTTCATATGCCGAGGTCAAGAAACATAAACTCTACTTCATCTGCCCATGTCTAAAGAGGAATCTTTTGTTTGTTTTGATATCACCAGGTTAAAATGTCTGTATTTTTCTGGTGGTTTCTTAATTGTTCTTGTTGTTTCACAAAAAATTAATTTTTTTTTTAGAATGTAGATGCACACATCTCACGTAGTGAAAAGAGAATGACAAATGTTGATATAAAAAGTGCTTAATTCCTAGGTAAATGGCATGACTTTCACTGCGACACTAAACTCTACAGTATTTGCAAGATGGCTGTGCTTCAAAGCACAGTTCAAAATGGAACTTCCGGTGCGTATTTTTAACTTTAAAATTAAATCCACAATACCTTTGTTGTATTATTTGTTTTTAAGGCACCGCGTTGAGTGAAGTGGAGTAGCAACCACTTGACCAAGGTGGACGAGTTCTAGACTTCTACTTCTGGGTCTCCAAGCCTTTTATTTGAATTTATTGCAATTTTTGTTTACAGAATTTTAGGTGTTAATGGAAGGAAATGATGGAGGCCCTATGCTCCATAAGGAGCAAGGAGGACTAAGTGCTAAGTATAGAAACCAAAGGCAAATATATATGGAGACATATTTGAATAAACAACATTCAAGATTTTTAGTATAGAAACCAAAGGCAAATATATGTGGAGACATATTTGAATAAACAACATTCAAGTTTTAATCATCATAATACATAAAAATAACACCCACGTCGTTTGCAATCGGAAGCTTTAGCCTTTGATCCGTCAGACCCTCCCTAAAAATGTATTTTGAAATTGAAAACAAGTGTTGTGTAAACAGTAATCCGGTTAATGAGTTTTAAACATGTGTTCTTTTATTTAATAAAAATAAATTACTATGCTATACCCATTAATCGCTTATGTGTATTTATCATTGGAGACAAATGTTGTGACTTTCATTGTTTTACTTTACCTAGCCATTCCAGTTGACTTCAAGAAGGGTTTGAGCGAGTTTTTTTTTTTAAATATTTTAATTGATAAAATAATTTTGAACGGTTTTACAACGGCATTCATTCAATACGAATATATGAAGATGAGTGTAATCAATGGTTTACAAACGGCTTTAATTTCTAACAACGTAATTATAATTGTATCGTTTGCCTAATTGTTTTAAAGTTTAAAAAAAATGTAGTATGATTACATCGACTTTTCAAGCCTATTTCCCATCAATCTACTAACATTTTTAATTACTATTGGACATGCACTAGAATGCCCAAACAAAAGTTGGTTCAAATCGACCCAGTATTGCTACTTCATCTACAAGCGACAATTGAAGTGGACTGAAGCACAAGAGTACTGCTCAGCCGTTGGCGCGAACCTTGCCAGTTTACATTCAGAGGAGGAAATAGCCTTCATTAGACCACAGGTAAAGCTTGCTAGCACTTACCTAAACAAACATTAACTAAACTTACTTTAAACATTAAAGTAGATTTTTTACTTTCTCGTATATACGTAGTATAGAGAAAGTATTGTAATCGTGCAAAAAAAAAATCGAGATTTTTACAAATCTCGACGTTTTACACCTCACTGATACGGAAAAACATAATTTTGCAATCTTGTCCGTATGTCTGTGTGTGTGTGTGTCTGTGTCTGTGTGTGTGTCCGTGTGTAAACACGATAACTTGAGTACCGTTACAGCTAGGTTGATGAAATTTCATATATAAGTATTATATCAAAATCGTAGATACGTATCAACTTTTGAGCGATTTCCGACAACCGGAAGTGGTACTTTTTCTACTTTGAATTTTTCAAAAGCCTATAACTTGAGTACTATTTCAGATAGATAAATGAAATTTCACATGTAAGTAAAAGATCTAATTCTCTACCTTCTGTTAAATGTTGAGTAATTTCCGTTGACCGGAAGTAGTAATTTACGCTACTTCCGATTTCTCAAAAAACTAATGTAAATTTTAAAAGTACTAATAATATTGCGCACTATTATGCGCTTTTTTATTTCGCGTTCACTTGGTGTGCAATTAATTTGTCTACGAGATTTTATTCTATTTTTAAAACTTTAAGTATTTAAAATGGATTAAAAATCATGTCTATAGCCCGAGTTCCCATCCCCTGTTATTTTATATAAAAATATTCGAGAAAGTTTAGGGGAGATCACTCCCGGTTTATTTTTTAATTTAAGCATTTATTTAAAAACATGCAGGTCAAATGCTTGTTAGAATGATTTAAATATATCAAATTTAAAATAAATCTAAAATGTTAAACTTTTATGTTACATGTTGTTAAATGAATCAGAATCTTCAAAAATAAAATGCAAAAACAAAACGTTTGAATAAACAAGCTTTTATGTAATAAAGCACCGAAACAGGGGAAAATTAATTAGTGTCTTTTTAAAAAAAGTGTGGGTCGCTCTATTATGTATGAAATACCTTTACTGTAATTCAAAAAGAGATCCACGCTTTAATTTTTAGTTATTTAAATAGTAGTTCATTACTATATAATTAAGGAAAACTATGTGTTTTCTCCTTTTTAGAACCTTATTACATAACAGCCTGTTATTAAAACTTGATTATACAGTTTTACTTTCACGTATAGGAGGTAGTCTATAGAGAAAGTATTGCCATAGTGCAAAGAATCGGAATCGAGATTTTCACAAATCTCGACGTTTTACACCTCCCTGAGAAGTGGGAAAAACTTAGTCTTGCAATTGTGTTTGTGTGTATGTGTGTTTATGTATGTGTGTGTATATGTTAGCGCGTGTGTGTTTCTGTGAACACAATAACTTGAGTACCGTTGCAGCTAGGGTGATAAAATTCAATGTATAAGTATTATATCAAATGCGTAGTCCTGTATAAACTTTTCAGCGATTTCAGAGAAACGAAAGTGAAACTTCTTCTACTTTTGGTTTTTCAAAAGCCTATATTGATAAACTAAACTTCACACATAAGCAAAAAAAAAGAATTATCTGTTTTCTTTCAAATTTTGCTTATTTTCCGGTGACTGTAATTAGTACTTTACGCTATTTTCAATTTCTCTAAAACGCATATGAATTTATAAAGTACTAATGTTCCTTGCGCATTGTTTGCTTTTCATTAGGTGCGCAATTCTTTTTTTCTAAAAGAATCTGTTCTATTTTGAAAAATTTAAGAATGTAATTTTTTTTAAAAAAAAGCATATCTATATTCCAAAACAAGTTACTATCCCACTTAGTGTTATATAAAAATATTCGAGGAAGATTAGGGGAGATCACTCCCGCTATATTTTTAAGTAGGCGACTTTAAACATTTTTAATGCAGTACAGTTGTATGACTAAAAACAAGGGCATACCACATAAATACGTAAAATGTCTGAAAATGGGAGGGGGGGGGTAAAACTATTACTTTATAAAGGACATTTTTATAAATTCTTTAAAAACTAATTAAGCATCCAATTAATTCAGATTTGCACTGTCGTCGGGTCTTTACCCACGTACCAAATATTAGAGAAATTGGTCATTTAAAAGTGTTCGCAATTTCGCTCGCCCGGTTCTGCTAATAAGACAAAAGCAATGCAGATAGCGAGACAGAGAAAACACGTTTAAAAAGGGTTTTGGATATTGTTAGAAATATACTATCGTAAATACTTGACATTTTTTAAAGTAACATTATGTGACTCAATGCCATTTTTTTATAAATATAAATTTTTACTTAGAAATGTAAACCAAATATATATATATATATATATATATATATATATATATATATATATATATATATATATATACATATATAAATTATTTCTATTGAAGATGAACGGAAACGCGTATTATCATTGGATAGGTCTACACAGGGCGTCAAACGGCAAATGGCAGTATGTTAGACTATACATTTATACAATAAATAAAATTATAATATCAACCTGTATTAACAAAAGAGAATCAAATTTAATTTAAAACGACGGTCTATTTCAATGAAGATTAACCTTGCAGGTGGATCGATGAAACTGAGATTAAATTTACTCGATGGGACTCTGGTCAGCCTCAGCTCAGCATTGTCAGCTGTGCTGCCACACACACCACCCTAGGTGAAGGTCAACTCGATTTACGTTATCTGTGTAGATGGTTTCTTCTCGTTATTTGTTGGTGGGGGGGGGGGGGGTATTTAACCTAGGCATTTGTCTGTGTTGTCGAGAGGTAGACAGTGTTTCTTTCAGGCATCTCTTCGGGAAATTTTAGACCGCCCGCCCCGAAAATTTCAAATGCCCCAAACCCCCCCCCTCCCCTACCCGGAGAAAAAGTCTGAAAGATCCACTGGTGGTAAAGGTAAAGCGGACGGTTGCTAACATGAGCGTGTCGATTTCCGTTCATGAACTCGAGTCCGTATTTCGGAAAGAAGAGTAAACATGACAGTGCATAGACTGGCCACATTATACTTTTATTTATAAAAACGAATCACAGCTCTGTAAGAATAATATTAGTTTTTAATTTGTAGTCAACCAAGTAGTTACCGAGTGATTTCTTTTTAAACTTCTTTTTGTTTAACACATCAAAAACCAAATGACAATCACATAAAAATCAGCCATTTAAATATATTTAGAACAATAGAAGCTAGTTATTATTATTATCATCCACCGTTTGTGTTCCAAATCTATCGGATCTAGTACAATATTCTGTTATGGAGAGTAGTGGAAAAAATATTGTTTGCGTTACCCTGTAAACAAGTATTGAGATTTTTTTTTAAAATGCGCAACCCATAGACAAGTAGCCTATTGGGAAAAATGCGTTACCCGTAGACAAGTATTAGGAAAAATGCCTTACCCGTAGACAAATATTAGGAAAAATGCGTTACCCTTAGACAAGTAGTGAAAAATTTAAATTGTATGCGTTATACCGTAGAGTAATAGTGTAATAAATCAAACTATTTGCGTTACCCTTTAGACAAATGGAGTAGCGAGCCTTGCTTCACGCAGAAAAATGGTTTGTGTAAGAAAGTTCTAGCAGTGATGTCACGTAATGCTGCCACTACTGGTTAGTAGGTTGTTGTTGTGGGGGAATGGTATTGTTGTAAAAGTAGCCCACACACTTGGAATATATGTGCGTTTTTTGTGTTTATGTGTTTGTATGCGTGTGTACTTGTGTGGGTGTATTTATTTGAATGAAAATTTATTTGTATGTGTGGGTATGTGTGCGTGTGTGTTTGTAATGTGTATTTGTGTATGAGTTAGTATGAGTGTGTTTGTATAGGCGTGTGTGTTTTTATTGGTCTATGTACGTGTTTGTATGTATGCGTGCGTGAGCTTGCATGTGCAACTTTAATATTTTGCAAGTTTAACGAAATAATTCTTTCCGCGCAGCCTACTCCCAGCAATGTTTGGCCACCAAAGATTTCAGCTCGCTGTTTATCTTCTCACTATTTTTGGCTTTTTTCTGCTACGATTTATAAAGGAGGTGAGTCTTTCTCGAACCTGAGCATAAGATATGTTGAATGGAGAAAGTTTATAGCTCTAGACTACAGCAGCTACAGTAAAAATTTTACTTTAATAAAAATATTGTTTTTGTTTTATTACCACTTCATTTACACTTATATATATGCGTATCTGTAAAGCAAGTGTGTATACACGTAGAAAATGTTTTATGTCAGTGTGTTGGTCTGTAGTAAAGTTAGGAGCATACAGAGTTGTATTGTCTTAGCATGCCAAACCTCAGGGCGGTATTTAATGTCAGTCGTGTCTCTTCTACCCTAACACAGTAGTATTCCAATTTTTTTTTTAAAATCCTCTACTAAAGCCTTAATGATTATTAGAACCACTCTATTATGGCATCTCTCCCCCTCTCTCATTGCCTCTCTTAAGTTGATGAAAAAGAAAACGATGTAGAATCGAGTTTAGATCCCCCCTCCTGTTGTCAGCCATTAGATCCAGAGATTCTGCTAGGCTCCACATTTTCTACTTAAAAGATCGCGCGCTTGTATTGTTGATGGGGTGGGGAGGGACGTCAGTTGATGTTGGTGGTAACCTATGGTCCAGATATCTGGTTGTAAATTTAGCTCAGGTTCTAGAGCTACACGTTACCAAAAGCAATATGACGATACCATACTGTAGGGTAATAGTTGATTTGTGAATAAAACTGTTTCTGTCGACTTGATTTTTATAACTAATGAGCTTGAAATATTAATTTGTTTATATTTTACTTTACTCCTCAGGATGACGTAAAGAAGTAGAGTGTGCATGTCGCGTCACTATCAGTTTTAGAAGTCCGGTCTACTACAATTAATTTGTTGCTTTAAAATTTATTTTACTGTATTAATCAAAAAGCCGAAATGTACATATTTAGGAGTCCACTTTCAAAACCTTTCAGTCACTTTTGACTGATTTTGAGTAAATCGACTTTAAAACTTTTTTTTGTTAACTAACCTTATAATTTTTTTTTTATATTTTACTGTTAAGAAATTTATTTTGAACACAATTTAGTATACAGCTTTAATTGCCACTTAATTAAGAAGTCTATAAGAATAACTCATTTTTTTCCAAAAGTGGAGTTAACAGGTTTTGAAAATATTATTGTTAACAACTATTGAAATAAAAACATTTCCATAAAAATATATGTATAGGCCTACTCCGAATTCCGTTTTGAAAAAGAATAAAAACCATTCCAAACCAATGATTTGTTTTTACAATATATTATATTACTTTTTATGCTTAAAAGATATTTTAAACATTAAATCTGCCTCTCTGACAAATTCAAGGGATAAAATAGTCCAAATTTCGCAGCGGTATTTGTTGACTAATTAATAAAAAAAAACAATATTTATTTGTAAGAACATTATTGACAGCAGCTATGTAAAACAAGATTCAGGCACGTTTGCTAATAAATGTAGAAACAAAATAAAAGCTACTGTATATGCAATCCAGAGATCACGTAACAACATTGGAACCTGCATGGACTGAAACATGATGACAATAAACAGAGGAGAAACATCAAGTTGGGACATTCTCTGATTGACTTTATAGTGTTATAACGTTGATATTATTATCATCTGGCTGGTTGCAAACTGTCATATGCCACTGACAGCGAGATCTGTAAATTGCTACCGGCGGTTGATGTCAGAATTTAGTCAGAAAACACAATTGCATTTAATTACCAGTATAAAATGTGTTAACTATAATATGTATTAAACACCCTTTATATGATTGCCCTTCCCTTTTTAATAAAAACTTTTTATTTTTAATTTAGTTATATTGCAAATACAAACGGTTTGAAGAACAAAAAAAGTGGAACTTTTTTTAAAAATAAAAAACAAATTCGAAACATATTTGAAAAAATATTTTTAGAAATAAGTTTTATATTGATTGTATGCTGTCACATACATGAATGAACAATTTCTTTGATCTTATGAAGATAACGTGAAACAATTGATAATAAAAAAAATTGTTTAAAGGTTGTGTTTTATCACAAATTATGATTGGGAACTTATGCAATTCAAACAAATCGGAATTGATTTGTTAAAAAATGAATGTGTGAAATATAAAGGCAATCCTTTTCTACCTAACAAAATTCATTTGCTGTTCACAATTATATTACCCATTTTGCTAACAATACGGTGTTTATTTTCAGTATAACTGCAACATGTTGGTAATGATAGGGAAAATAATTCTTTTGCAATTTAAGAAATTACCTGACATATTGCTAAAGTTTGAACATATTCACAAAAACACATTTAAAGCTCTAACCTTTAGGGTTACCATAAATTATGAGTATCAAAATACACACACATTGTGTATTCTGCTGTAAAGATGGAAATTGTTTATTTGTACACGCACATAGTAATTATTTTTCCATGTTTCTTATGTACTTTATATTATATACTTGGATAGGGGGTAATATAGGCCTACATCTGCTTCATATACATGTATATTTACCTGTTTCCCGTCAATCTATTCACTGCAGTCATGTTAAACACACCTCTGTGTGAAGGAATAAGATAATCTACCTGTGACAAAATTACAATGTAGGATTGCAGCAGGACCGTGAGAAAGTCACAGTGACACACGATTGTTATATTCTTTACTTTCAGTATCAATAGACAATACACGCCTAGTCTTACTTCTTCATGACTATCTTGTATCATCCAATTAAGACATTGAACCAGCCGTAGAAATAGACATATGTATAGGCAAAAGATAGACAAAAGATAGGGAAGGGTAAACAACGACGGGCAATGTGCATGGACACGAACATGGCATGAGCATGGGCATTGTAATTGTGGGCATGGCATAAGTATGATTATAAGCAGAAGTATAAACACATTCACAGACGCAGAGGCGTAGCTAAACTTTCCGGGGACAAACTTTTTGATTTGCACCCCCCCCCCTCAAGATTTCTATTTGCACCCCCTGTGATGGTGGAGCAGCGGGGTATATAGAAAAGATTTAGAGAAGATATAATTATATAATATATATGAAACCCCCCATCACATATTGGTGGAGCACAAGTGGTCCTTAATTCCGCAAGTGGTGTTTTAAAAAGGATTCAAAGTTGTGAAGTTTGAAGCGGATTCGTGTTGACCAGAGGTGCTACTAGATCATCGCAGGGAAGCAAGATAAGTACCTTCCTCTGATTTTTTTTAAGTAACCGGGATTGTTTGGATCCTGTGCTGGTTATTCAGCAGTTTTTCTTCTTCGTGTTTGTTTTATGTCTTTATAGATCTAGTCTTGTTATTCTTAAATTGGCTGAGGCTTCCTAACGATAGGACACACTGAGTGTAGGCCTGCTATTTAAGAGGTACACATTTATAGTTAGCTGTATCACGTAATGTTCGCATTATCGTGTCTATAGTGCTGCTCCCAGCATTTTTTTCTCTCTTTATAACCTGTCACGTGTTACGTACTGTGGTAGGCTTGGAGTAAGCTACATCTATCTTACTTTCGCCCATTTATGTGTATCGTCCTGTTCAGTTAATGTTATTTTGTTACTCTTTTTTTTCCACACATCACCTATATTACACCACACTAAGACATGCCTCCATTTAACGAACTTCTAACTAGAACTAAGCCCGAGTTAGGCTTAGAGTATACCATTGGAGACTCGTCGCTGAAGAAAAGCAAATATGGAAAGCAAGACAAAGTTGTCGATGAAGATAAATTATTTGAGTTAGTCCAGTTAAGACTTTTAGAGGATGCAGAACAGGAAAGACAATGTCAAGTGGCGTTAGCCCACTATAGAGTTCAGCTAGAGGCCAAACGAGAAGAAGAATCCGTTAAAGCTAAAGCTAAATTAGATGAGAAATCAGAAGACTACAAAAAACGTGAAGCAGAAGTTGAATTTATGTTTGCCAAGGCTCGGCAAGAAAAAGAAAGAGAATCCGAACTTCGTAGAGCCGAGATGGAAAAACAATTTGAACTTTATAAAGCCGAGATTGAAAAACAAACAGAACTTGAACTAAGCGAAATGAGACTACAAGTAGAAATAAGGCGAAAAGAAGTAGAAGAACTACGTCAATATAAATTAAAGTTAGAGAATCGATCACAGCAACCTAAACATGAGTCAACGCTACAACAAAAAGCAGAGCTACCTAGATCTACTTATGAATATTACTACGATTCAGATGACTCATACAGTGAAACAGAGAGCAAACCTACTACGAAAATTGATGCGCCACACTCAATTCAAGAAGATACCACAACAGCCCACAACATACAGATGAACTATTGTCGACAAAAGAACTATCACAATATCAGATGTTATTACTGCAATAGATCAGGTCACAAAAAGGTTAATTGTAAGAAACTATATGATGATAGACTCCAGCGGAATATACAGCAGAATAGACGTCAATACAAGAGACCAATTTATAGATCAGCATACATGACATCTTTTAGTGAAGCCAGCAACAGGAAAGAAACATTTACAGCCAAGATTAACAACAGATTCGCGCGAGCCATAAGGGACACACGATGCTCAACAATAGCTGTTAGAAGCTACTTTGTTAGACGACATCAATACACAGGCAGAACACAACATGTCCAGAGTTCACGAGGCATAACATATGTTTGGCCAACAGCTATAATCCAGATTAGCACGCCATCAGCAACAAGAACAGTAGAAGCTGTTGTGTTTAGATATGGTCCACACGATCTGATCCTAGGCAACATCAGAGGTGTCAAACAATTTCAAGTTGAGAATGACATGAACCATACAACACAAGTAAGAAGCGAGCAGACCAACACACAAAGTTCTATCGAACCGGTAAACAGAACGATGTACGATCTACAGAAAAGGAGTGATAATTTGGTGGTAGACATGAACACAGTTACTGAAGAGTTGTCTAAAAAAATCACAGAAATCGGCTCAGTTGTTCTCAGTTTGAGAAAACAGAATGATAAACTTAATGACAGATTGCTCAGATTGGAGAAAAAAGTCAACAATGAAAATGAAGAATATGTCCTAAACAACTCAATTGGTGAGAGAGCTTACTACTATTCCTGGTCAGCACTTAATCAGATAATGTCAGGAGCACAAGAAACTACAGAGCCTAAAGAAATGACCTGCACACGAGTACAAGACAGACGACGGACCTGTTCAACCCTAACCTTAACCTAGCGCCCCATGTGCTTTACCCCATGACGGATAGAACTTGGACCACGCACACCCCCTTACGAACGGTTTTGAACAACAACTACACAAGGATTAATAAGTAAAGTAAATTCAAGGTATCGAACAGCTAAATGTATGGTATGAATCTAAGTCGTCGTAAATATCGACGTGAGGCAATTTTTCAATTCTGATGGTGCAGAAGGAAGTCGTTGTCATAACATGGTATAATGAGAGCTGCTCCATTATAGCCATAAAGTGAAGAATATATTAGTTGCTATTGGAGGATGAATAATTATGGCTATGTACAGTCTACAGTCACAGGCAGAGAGCTGCTCCTGCACTACAGATATGTGACACGCAATACAACATACATGTCTTTTCTTTGTGTGTAGTAGATCTCTTTCTATTTTAATGCTAGTCGTGTGTAGTTAATGATTTAGTAATGTAGTTGATATTTTGTTGATAATTATAATAATGTAGTTACTATTATTATTATGTAGTGTGTCGTGGACAAATAACCAGCATATCAAAATTTGGTGGGTTTTTTCTTTAAAAGAGGAAGGTTATTTGTCCGACGGGCACAAAAACGCTTAGCTGGCATATGTTTAAGACGACATGTCCGCTCATATTTTCTCAGAATCTGACGTCATCTTCGTGAATGCTACGCACTGATGCCCAGCTTAAATGCAGCGGTCAAACGACCAGTACATCATGAACGTGAACATATGAAACACATCGTCAAGGACACGCCCGCAGGATCACGTCAAGTAAAACATCTAGAGGAACCAAATTAATGTGAGATGGGTCATCCTAACCAGATTACTGAAGCCTTACGCATGGTCGCGGTCAATTTTCGATCAAGTCGTAACGGCAACTTCAGCTTATAAATATTTGTTTTTCGGTCACAGTGTTGCCAAGTTTTGTGTTTATAAAGCTCAAGGGAACATTTAGACGTCAAGTATAACAGGGAAAACTGTCTACACAGATGATAAACGTTTGTGGAACTGTCTCTAGCGAAGATAAAGATTCATTGAGTGACGTATATTTTGTAAATTTGTCTACACAGATGATAAACTTTTGTGGAACAGTCTTTACCGAAGATAAAGAATAAATTGACTGACGTTTATTTTGTAAATTTTTCAATACAGATGATAAAGTTCTCTACTGGCAGTTCAAGATGCGGCATGACATTGTTGTCGTTTGTTTTTTTGAAAATGTGAATGCTGGAATTGTTGTTATTGAAATGTTAATGTAATTCAGTCATTGATGACGCTATGACTATGTATTTATACGATGATTGACTAAGAAGACAGAAAAAAAAAACTAATAGTATTAGTTTTTTTAATTGTAGGGGGGGAGGAGATGTCATAGCGTAGATATAAAGAATTAGACGACTAGTAGAGGTTAAAAAGGACGGTGCGAACTTGACTGTAGACGATTTGGTGCGAGAGTATTGTGCGCATGTTGAATACAATATTTGTGGCGCGAATGTGACGTGAGCATGACACGACAATGTACCAATGACGTAGACCGCGGCAGTAACGTGAGTTGGGGGTTAGTAATGGTAGGAGACGGATGTATTCTTTGATATTGTGCAAATAAGTGTGTATTAATAAAGTTAGTGTTCTTTTCATAAACGAAGTGGTTGACTTTTGTTAATTAGTGTCTGCGGAACATAAGAGTAATTCCCGTCCTACTCACAAGTATAATAGTTGTCGTATGAATAGTAGCAGATCAGAATATAGAGAAGATATAATTATATAATATATATGAAACCCCCCCATCACACCCCCCTCAAACTTTCAATGTGCACCCCCTCCCCGCTCAACATTTCGATTTCCACCCCCCCCTCAAACTTTCGATTTACACCCCCCCTCAAGATTTCGATTTACACCCCTCCCCTCAAACTTTCAATTTGCACCCCCCTCAACCTTTCAATTTATTTTTCCAACCCATTTTGGCGCCCCCTGAGGTTGGCGCCCGGGGACATATGTTCCCCCACCGCCCCCCGCCTCCCCCCCCTCCCTCCCTCGCTACACTACTGCACAGACGTACACACAGACAATGACGTATGTATCCATACACAAGTCTCAAGACAAATCTATCTTATGAAGCTAACTATTATGTATATAATTACCAGCTTAGTTTTTGTCCCCAAATATGCGTGGTTAAAGTGCTAGATTTCCTCTATAGGTCTCAACAACAAATCACATTATCCATGACATGGTTGTTTTTTTCAAATGAGATCGTCCTACTCAAGACAAAATTCGACACAACTGCTCAACGCAAGAAGATGGTATCGTAAGTACTTTAAAATAAAACAAATAAAAACTCCAAATATACAGCCGTGATTGTGTTTATGTGTATAGGTGTTGTCACTTGTATGTCTGTATGTAGGTTTTATCTGGATGTGTCTATGTTATCTGAGGTTCTGTGATACTTCCGTTTTGAAAACTTACTGTATGAAAAGTGTTGTGTGTTTTTTTTATCAAAGTTAACCACTCGTTGCAAACGTGTGGTTGGTCGACAAATGGGTGGTTGTGCGACAAATGTGTGGTTGGTCGACAAGGTGTGGTTGTGCGACAAATGGGTAGTTGTGCGACAAATGTGTGGTTGTGCGACAAATGGGTGGTTGTGCGACAAATGTGTGGTTGTGCGACAAATGTGTGGTTGTGCGACAAATGGGTGGTTGCGCGACAAATGGGTGGTTGTGCGACAAATGTGTGGTTGTGCGACAAATGTGTGGTTGTGCGACAAATGTAATCAGTTTCTGCTATAGGGATAGTAAATCTCGTTCTCTTTCACTTTAAGTTCGAAATCTTGTTAGCCAAGGAGATATTAAATTCCGAACTAGATTAATGTGACGGCTGTGTTTAGGCCTTGCTTCATGATTTTAATAAAATCACAAAGATTTTTCGAAATACATCCTATATGAGTATGAGTATAGTTATAATTGTTAACGATTTGAAGTAACAATAGCGAAAATATCTTTTTAATTCTAGCTGGCAAGTATGAAAACGAAAGTTGTGACCTACTTGCAAGGGGGGGCAGGGGGGGGGACACATGTCCCCGGGCGCCGACCTTAGGGGGCTCAAAAATGGGTTGTAAAAACAAGTTAAAATGTCAATTTAGCTGCATTTTTGCAGTTTGAGGGGGGGGGTGTAAATTGAAAAGTTGAGGGGGTTGCAAATCGAAAAGTTAAGGAATTGAAAATTTGATCCCTAGGGGGCGCCAAATTGAAAGTTTGTCCCCGGGCGCCGGGAAGGGTCGCTGCGCCTCTGCTTCTACCTCCCGTTTTTTTTAATTTGGATATCTTGACATATAGACCAGAGGTGTAGCTAGGGGAGGGCAGGTGGGGACGCCAAATCGGGTAGAAACATAAGATAAAAAGCTTTTTCTAAGCTGCATTACAGTCTAACTTAAGGAAATGGAAAGCAACTTGGTTCTACTGACGGCTTTCTACGTTGATTTTATAATACGAGAAAAAATATCAACGGTAAGAGGAGGGGTGCTTTTTCGCTAACGTCAATAAATATTTAAATATGTGTGGGGGCGCAAACTTGAAAGTTCGCCCAGGTAATGGGTTGCTACACCTCTGCTATGAAGAAGACGTGTTTAGCTTAAGAGCTAAATTCAGACCTGTGTCACTCTAGTCGAAGATCTACGGTCGTAACCTTACCTGTATTTTAAAGAGTCCTCCATTTGTGTGGATTCACCGCAGTAATTGTTAGTATTAAATTTTGTAAGACGGATATACATTTCTAATTGATTGTCTTCTTTTAACAAAATAATAATGGACAACAACAGAACGAAAACGATGAAAGCAATGATGACATTGATTGTTTGTATTTCTGCTGTGAATATACGGCTTATAGATGGAGGTAAGAACATATTTAAAAATGTTGTATCAATATATATATATATATATATATATATATATATATATATATATATATATATATATATATATATATATATATATATATATATATATATATACGTTTGTGACTGTATAGAAACAAAGATAAACTGGTGGTGCTATAATTTTTCAAAATATTTACTTTCTCATTTTATCTTTATGATACAATTTTATTACTTTAGCTTTGAATATTATTATTTGCTTAAAATTATTTTCAAACTAGTGATTTTGCATACTATTCTGGTGTTTTAATTTTTCATATACAAATATTTACTCAAATGCCTTTTGAATGTTGTATAAATAATTTATTGCGTTACTTTATTGAATTGTTTCTAAGTGAAACATTAGTGTTGTTTTAAAAAAAAATAATTTTATATGCTAAGCCTTTTAGTGAAATCTTGTAGAAATATATAATATAGTTGAAATATATAGTGCATACTAGAGACTATGCATTTTGTTGCACTGTTTTACATTATGCTTCTTTTTATTTAATTTTCTATTACTGTATGTGTTTGCAATTTTACGATTAGGCTGTTATCCTAGGCTGGTAATTAAGCAAATATTGTACTCATTAATAAACTTCATTTTTTCAGCAATAGCATGTCCGAACAGCGATTGGATCGAATCTGAGACACACTGTTACCACATTTATCAGAGTCAGTCTGTGTGGGCGGTGGCCCAGAACTATTGCTCAAACTTTGGAGCTAACCTCGCCAGTTTAAGCTCACAGGATGAAATAAAGTTCTTAAACAAAACGGTGAGATAGTTCGGAAATATTTAGGTCATAATTTCCATCCCATTCTGGTGAGGAAAATTAAAAGATTTTTCACACATTCAGGTGAAAAAATAAAAAGATTTATAAAATATTCAAGTGCGGAAAATTACAACATATATTGAACTCAAATGTGAGACATTTCTGAAACATATAGGTAAGGTCATGAAACAATGCCTATTATATTGAGGTGAGGAATATTAAACGATTTTTGAAAGATTAAGATGAAAATCGAAAAAAGATTTCTAACACACCCAGGTGTGTAAAATTAAAAGATTTCTTAAGCATTCTAGTGAGAAGACTAAAATATTATTAACAAGTAAAGTAAGACATTTTTAAAAAAAAAGATGGCTTATACATTGTGGTGAAGTAAGAATAAGATTTATTACATTTTAGGTAAAAATATATACTTATAAATCTTGCTTTAATTATGTGACGCATTTTTTGAAAACTTGACCAAACTAGAAGAAAGGAATGAGCGTTAGAGTAAAGAAAAAAATTCATAAGTTAAAAAGTTAAACGTGATCATCTTTTTTAATTGATTAAAATAAATGTCATTTATTTTGACTCTGTAGTTGAATGGGAAATTTCAAACAATGTGGATCGGATTCTATAAGCTATCATCTTTCGACGCTTGGAGGTATCTTAGTTTTTTACTTTAACATTACTTTAATACAATGATTTCGTTAAAGTCTATTTGCATTACAAAAATATAATAAGGTTAACTTAAATAAAATAGTGTTCTTGATTGTTTAAAATTTTCTCAATGTTTAATCTTTTGAACAGAAGGGTTGATAAGACTGTCTCAATGTTTCATCTTTTGACCAGATGGGTTGATAAGTCTGTCTCAATGTTTAATCTTTTGACCAGATGGGTTGATAAGCCTGTCTCAATGTTTAATCTTTTGACCAGATGGGTTGATAAGCCTGTCTCAATGTTTAATCTTTTGACCAGATGGGTTGATAAGCCTGTCTCAATGTTTAATCTTTTGACCAGATGGGTTGATAAGCCTGTCTCAATGTTTAATCTTTTGACCAGATGGGTTGATAAGACTAAAGTCCAGTTGATCAGATGGGTAGATAAGCCTATCTCAATGTTTAATCTTTTGATCAGATGGGTAGATAAGCCTATCTCAATGTTTAATCTTTTGATCAGATGGGTAGATAAGCCTATCTCAATGTTTAATCTTTTGACCAGATGGGTTGATAAGTCTGTCTCAATGTTTAATCTTTTGACCAGATGGGTTGATAAGACTAAAGTCCAGTTGACTAAGTTGGAACCCGACGTGCCCAGAGAGAGAGAAGATTGTGCCGCAACATACCATACAGGTAGGGAACGGTGTGGTGGAGGGGCAGAGCTTACGATTATACGTTTTAATATCTAAAGTTCCAGTCTGTGGAACGTCACCAAGACAATTATGTGTCTGTGTCCTTGTTATAAATCAAGATAAGTAAAGTCGGAAGGGCGAACTGCTGACCACATAATCACTTCATCTATATATCTAAATTATGTCAAGAAAAGTTCATTGCGAAAGGGCTAACTGTTGATCATATTAACCCTTCATAAACAGTGGTCAGCGAATTAAAATGAGCGGCTCTTGATTATTCATTGTCTCGTCTAAAACTGCACATTAAAACGTGAAAAACGTTGGGAACATTACGGTCCATTACGCAAGGTGAAGTAGAGTTCGCCTGCTTTATAGACCTCGGCAGATGAAGGGATAGAGTGGTCATCGTTATATCCCAGCCGCCTAACGTTAGTCAGAGGTCATATTCGGCTGAACTCGGAGAAGTCGTACGGACTCGATCCCAAGAATTGAACTCGGAAATTTGGTGTCAACATACGAACGCTCCACAATTCGACCTCAACGTTGCTTTAAAAAACAAAAACCCATATATTGTTGGGTTTTTCGCGACCACTAAGCTGGAATATAGGTTTTCGATTACATTACTCTTTTAAAAAAATTCAAATAACTATTGTCTAGTGCATGTCTACACCGTTAGCATCTTTTCTGTGTTGTAGTCGTCAGTTTTTTATGCTTATGTACAGGAAAATTGCAAATTCGTTTCGCATCCTACCTGTCCCAATTGCTGATATAAAACAATGCGATAGAATGCATTTAAGTACGGGTTTAATACATGTTTTTTAATAGCTGTTTGGCATGATTATCCCTGCAATACTAAGCTCTACGGCTTATGCGAGAAAAACGTTCCACCAGCGACTTTCGATAATGGAAGCTCAGGTAAAGACTGATATACGTTTCCAACTCAATGTGTGATCGTGCAATGGTTGGTATATTTTCTATACTTCTATCTTCTCTTATAGGTTAACTGTTAGATAAAAACAATATTTTATATTGTCGTGTAAACACTAAGCATAACAATGAAATATTAGAATGCATGTTGATAACGCTAATTAGACAATAGTAATAAGTGGCATTACCTAACACAGATCAATAAAAAATTAATATAAATATAATGGATGTAAATTAATTGAATAAATGTATGTACATCTAACTCTAGAGTGTCCGAATAGGAATTGGTTTAGATTCACACAAAACTGCTACTACGTTCACAAGAGTTCAATACCTTGGTCAGAAGCCCAAAAAAGGTGTTCAGCGTTCGGGGCCAATTTAGCAAGTTTACATTCAGAAGAAGAGATTACTTTTCTAACTAGTCAGGTACTTATACCGTTATATCAATGCAGCCTTAATGAATCCACGCTCAGTTTTAATGTCTTGTTGAAAGTAAATGTTGTATCCGTTTTCAATAGTGCACTAACAGATATATACATTCTTGTTAAAGAGTTTCATGTATTTGACGAATCTTAAATTGAAATACTGATCATGTTTCTTCTATCCACTAAAGATTCTGAGAGCTGGTGAGATAACATGGATAGGTCTTCATAAGACACAAACTAATACACTCTGGAGGTGTGTATGTCGCATGTTTCTCTCAGCTATTCAATAATCCTTATATTAAATATTGAAAAACAGTTGAGTATGCGTATTATAAGTTTGGGCGGATTTTTCCAATGATTCACTCTGTAAAAATGATATTTCAACATAAATGATGGTTCACATTTTACAGATGGGTTGATGGTACTAAAGTCAATTTAACAAGATGGGACGTTGGTCAGCCCGAGCCAGATAGACAAGAATGCGTGTCAGTTTATGACACATTAGGTCAAGTCTTGTTTGTTTAATTTTAATTATACATTAATTAGCCGTTAGGATTTGATCTTTATGTAACCACCGGCTTATATTTCTTATAACAAAAGGCCGACATCT